TACTGATCTAGGTAGTAATGTTTATTAAGATGGGAAACTTCATTTTAGAGTAAAGTTGCAGTTTTAAACTTGCTAGGCTCTGTTTGAGATTTAGACAGTTCAGAAAACTTAGAACATGTAAGCACAGGCTTCCTCTGCCATCTCCTTGGCCTCAGCTGTTCTGAACATGCAGCAGCACATGTGCTTATGAGCTGGCAAGAGGCAGAACTGCAGTAGGTCAGGCAAATACAAAGGAAAGTGAGTATTATATTAGAAATATGATTTTGCATGTGTCACATTCAAAAAAAGCCCACAAAACCAAAACACAGCCTTCACCCACCGCATTGAAAGCAGTGCTGGGCAGGCCTTGGTTTTGGATTCGTTCCAATAAAATCTAGTCACACTTCTCTTTGATCTCTCTTTATTGTCTTTCACTTCAATAAATAGTTTTGGTGGCATGATCTCAAATCCTTCTAAGCTGTAGGAACCAAATGATTATTTGAGCATAACCATTACTAAAGGAGTGTCCATTATATATATCTGGAGTATTAAAATTGTTCTGCATCAATGGAAGAATCCACACGAGTAATCTCATTTTACACAATTTATGTATTTTCTATTTCTGCGCTCCAATATTTATTATAAAATTAATTATAAAAYTTAATAAATAGAGAGAAATCTTGGTAATTTAGTGCACTTGCAGTGTACATTTGCACTTAGGGCATTTTACAGCAGCACTGACTTGTGTGCAGCAGCAATTTCTCTGGGCTGTTACAGGCTACAGGAGGTAAGAAACAGTGGGGTTTTTTTAGCAGAGCTGACAAAGGGGATGTAGGGTGCAATTCCAGAGGGCTTACAGCAAATCTGTGTAGATGTTTAGTGATTTTAAACTCTGCAGAARGTTGCTTTGCGGAGATTGCCATGGATCCAGAAAAGCTTTTAAGGATCGGAAGCAGATTTTTGTGACAGCTGTGCAACTTCTGTGCTGCAGCCTCAACTGGTTCAGTAGTGACTTCTGCAGATGTAATCTTCTCTCTTCTGGCCCTTGGGGCATTGCAAGTCTAACTTTGACAGGAGGAAAAGTAACTTTATTAAAATACTGTAGGCCAGGGTGTGAAATATTCTCTCGTAAGCTGTACTAGTGGTCTTCTAAAGGATCCCCTTTTTGGGTTGGCCTGTTCTGCCTCTATCCTGTGTATCAGATTTCACCTCAGTGCCTGTGCACTCTGGCTGCAGAGGTGTCTGGGGACCTTTCATTGGGCTCACTTTAAGGTTTCTGCACCTTCTCAGCTGAAAATGTCCAGTTTATAGCAATAACTTTCCCYAGCCCTTGACTAGGAAGAGGCTGCYGCCTGTACATTACTCACAAGCAGCAAGAGCCTTGTTATCATCATGGTATTTGAGGCTTTTTSTTAAGCCAATCTGCTTGGGTTAGAAAGGCTCAGAAGGCCTTGCATGGTATCTATAAACTTGAAGTAGCACTAATATCTTGCCCCAAGTGGTTACACTGACTTCCAGCCCTAGGGGGAGAAAATGGGACTTCAAAGGGTCTTGGTCATTGCATCTCCACCAGTACTTAGAAGTGATGTGTAACAAACATTAACAGCTTTTCCAGTTGAATTGGAATTTGGAAATTTTCTCCTTCTTGAGATGTTAACCCCCTAACTGAACAGGAGTGACCTGTGTGTGTTGTTTTGTGGAGAATGCAGAATGCGTTTTCATTTAACCTGATAGGAATCTGAATGCTCTGTTTTGAAGTTGTAGTTTTATTCCATTGCAGTGTTGCCTTGCTACATGAGAGATGCACTGAGAAATGATGAGTTGGAGTCCTTTTGCTTTGTGCTCTGAGCAAACATAAAATTTGCCATTGGGAACTGCAATAAAGTAGAAGTTGGGAAGAAGGAGTATTGTCAGGAGTCTAGTTAGCAAAACGTGAGGAGACAGCAGATCTCATCCTAACTTGCATAACGAGACCATGTCAAACCAAGAAAGAAATCAAATCTCCTGACTGTATTCCRTGCATCCATCATCATGAGGCCACTCTTCTGGGGTTTCATTTTTGTCCTCAGGCAGGGAAATTCAAGAATCTCTCTTGTCCCTGGGGTGCTGTGGTATGGTCTCCCACTACTCTCAGGCGTTCTGCTTTCAGCGCTGGAATGTTTCTGTGCTTGCACTCGCTCAAGGATTTAAGCCATTTATTTTGTTTGTTTATAATAGAGTTCTGGTGGGAAGACAGATGTTATGTGGGAAAGCTGTTTTCCGGATCTGTTTATCCCTGTTATGTGGAATCTCACAGACCACCAGTACCAAGTAGCTATTAGGCATCAGCTTTGAGAGATTGGCATTTTYAGAAGAGGAAATGTATTAGTTCTTGTAAGCAGCTTTGCAACATGCCCAACTTGGCAYGCTTTGGCTTGGTGTTTAAAATGGATTGGAGTATGTCTTTGTTTCAATATAGTAATTTGACCTTTTGAAATATTMGTATTTTAGGAAATGGTCCGTATTTATTCATGTCTGACAATAAAGAGCTGACTTGAATTCCCAAAATACATTGTCTAAGAAGTACTTAGCTATGAAGACATGGCTTTAAATAAATCTCATTTAAATGCCTATATTCAGAATTAAAAATCAAGGTTTTCACTTTAACTCATCTTTCTTCATCTTGATGTCCCAGGGTACTTCAAGGAACTTAGCAATTAAATTGTATGCTCTTATGGTAGCAGAATAGGGACAAGTCTTTGTGTTCCAAACAATTCACATTTCAAAATATCATATTCAAGATTTGGCCTTCATCTCTCTTCTGCTGATACTTTGCAACACTGGTTTCACAACAGGCTGAACTCAAAAATCCCTGAGATTTAGAAGGAAACAATTTATTAATGTTTTATCAGAGAAGAGTCCTAATTGGGGTATCCACACACTTGTGAAGACTAGAAATCTTCTTATTCTTGGGCATCTGTTACTCCTGCCAGGAATCTGTARACTTGCAAATTGCCAAGGCCGCATGTGTTGAGAGAGAGCAAAGCRAACACTGCAGAAAGGCAATTTTTGCATTTTCATCTCTTGTTCAGCCAAAGAGATTAGGCATAGTTGGAAAATGCTTTCCTCCACAGGGGGAGGATGACCACAAAGCTAGAACAATTTTTTCTTTATTTGAGGAACATGCACATAAGCACTCGCTGTGCGTGCATGAAAGAAGCAAAACTGTTAAGGATTTTGGGTTGATCTCAACATTTGAATGTCTGGGGGTGCTTCTCTCCAGGCTGTGGTGCAGGGCAGGTTGCACTGGCCTGTCCTGGGCTATTGGCTCTGTACTGGGATCAAATGCAGGGGGGAAATGTTTAACAGGAGGTTTCTGGCCATTTGGAGGCAGAGGAGAAAGTGTGAGTCGCTTAGAAATGGCGAGTCTGGAGCCCAGTTAGTGAAGTACTTACTGTGTTTCATAGTGGTGGATGTTGAACAGGGAATTGTCAGCACTGGCTGCTTCTGATCCATCCCAGGAGCACTAAACACTATAAGGATGAATTTTGAGAGTCTCTGGAGGTCTCGTGGCACTTGTTTTATCACTGCAGTCTGGTTTATTCTGCTCAGTTCAGGACAGAAAATGCCGTGTGAGTGTATAGCTTGCCTGTGCATATGTGTGCTGTGGAAAATGGGAAATATTCCTCTCCTCACTTTCTGCTTAGGACCAGATTTAGTAGCGTTTAGCAGGAAATTTCTTTAGACAGGAAAGTTAGATATGGAAGGGTTGCAGCAATTAATATTTTTGATTTGTTACTGCAGCTCTGGCTGTAATTTGGTGCTCAACTGAACATGTGCGTCAGTAGCTTGGGCTCCTCTCCTTCCATTTAAAAGTACAAATTACAGTACTTTTTGTAAGCAATGTTGTGGAGAAAAATCCAAATAGTGATTGTCMGGTGCTGAGATATCATTGTACAGAAGCCCTTTAAAATCAGAGCTTAGTTTAAAAACTATTGTTTTTTTTTCTTCTGTAGTTACTGCAAATGTAATCCAAGTAATGGGAACCTGTGGCTTTTGTGTAGAGCATTTACACCTCCCAGGGAGCAGTGGTTGCTAGAAAATCATATTTCATCAGGTGTTACTTATTTATTTCACAGTTGTGGAAAAAGATGCCGAACACTTGGGGCTTTACTGATCTTTGGTCAGTATCTGCAGGCAGGATGGAATGGGGTTTTGGCATTTTTTGCTATTCAGTGTGTTTGATTGCAGCCCTTGAAGCTGGAGCGGGGCACAGAAAGCTGTGGGGTGTCTGGCAGTAGGCTCAAGGAATTTGAGTTGATTGTGTCATGTGCAGATATGGTTGTCATGGGGTACAGAATTGGTCTTCATTCCAGCCAACAGTGAATGGGCTCGAACAGAGGAAAACAACACATTTCTCCCTTTGCTTTCCACGGGTAGTGGTGAGCACGTTTAGAGTCTGGGAATAAAAATGCACCTCATGTCCGCTGAGGAACCATGGTAGGACTTTGTCTAACTTGAACCCTGACAGTAAAACTCTCCTTTGACAGAAACCCATCAGAGGCTGTTACCTTCAGGTTCCTTCCATGCTCAAGGCTTTGACAAGGTGACACAAAGYTCCTCCTTGGGCAGAGGGACACAGCCCAGTGCAGCCTTGCCCTATGTGGTTTGGTGTGAGTGCCCGAGGGAGRCAGCGCAGCTCGTGTGACATTTGCCGTGCAGATGGAGTCAGTTCTTTGTCAACATCTGTGTCCATTTGCCTTTCCCTCCCCCAGCCCAATTAGTCACAGAAATATGGTACRATTGGGTTTTCTCTTGAAAAAATGTTCTTAAGAGGCTTTTGGTTGTGCAGAAATAGCCACTCGGTACCGACAGAGCATCTAAAAGGTGTTTCAGAATGAATGCACGTATTTATTCATTGCTAGAWTTAGGCAATTTGTTGGTTTGTTTTCACAGAAGTATTAAATGAGCAAATAAWATATAAGCAGCAAAAGTTTTTTAAAAAGAAAAATCCACAATGATTTTCTCTTTTCCTTCAACAGACATACATTGGCAGCGTGGTGATATCAATAAACCCCTATAGTTCTCTACCCATTTATACTCCAGAGAAAGTGGAAGAATACAGAAACCGAAACTTTTATGAGCTCAGTCCTCACATGTAAGTACAGTAAAGAAATTTTAGTTTTCATTCYGTCCTGGAACAGATGGTACCAGCTGTCTCTCTCCTCAGAAGATCTGTTGGTTAAAGCAAGCAAAATGAAAATCACACCACCACTCCTCCAAAATGAATTTTTATTAGCTCATCCGTATTTTAAAGTGAAGTTAAAATTAGTTACTCTTTGTCTTTCATGCACTTAGGCCCTGGTATGTGCATTTCAGAGCATTTCCCCCTAATTGTTAGCAGTAGCCAGTATTACAGCATTGTAAAGCCAGCAGTCTGTTTTCAAGGAAATCTGTTTCTTTCAAAGTCCAGGCTGCCTCCTGGAAGCCTCGGGGCGTTAAATATGTTTGACTCATATAGTGTTACTTTTGATATCTGAAACGCTTAATTTATCTTTGTGCAATGCTGAAAAAAAAACCCTCTCATGATGAATGCAGAAATGTGTTGGATATGTCTGAATGGTAACTGTATTAAAGGAAAATTACAGCTTGGTCTTCTCCGTGCTGGGTGGAAATGAGCTCATTCATAGAGGACAGCCAGTGCACCATGAATGCATAAAGCAATTTTAAGACTAAAGTAGGATGAATAATAGGATGAGATGCTATTTGCAGGTGTGGGTGGGGTGACWGAAAATAAGGTAGATGATCTTCAAGGTCTGCACATTGCAGCAGTCATTTTATSTTGCCAGTTGTAGTGGTGAGGCTCGAGCCAGCTGTTCCTCCCCTCAGCATGGCACTGAGATGAAGTGTTTCCAGCTGCTCCTGAGGTTGCACCTGACTCTGCAGCCACAAATTCAGGTGACTGACTTGAGCAAGTAGGGGTCAGATAAGTGTCTAAACAGAGCCATGCATTTATGTGTCTTCCTTCAGAGTAAGCTTTTAGGTTAAATGAAAATTACGTGTAGAAAGTGTTAGCGAAGTTATTTTGTTCTAATTTTTTGCCTTAACACTTCGTCTGTCACTCTCCCCAGCAAATTGGCTGAAACGCAAACAGCCCATTAATCAGATCAAATAAGCTTCTGATAGTGCTTGGACCTCTTGGTCCTAAACCCTGGCTGTACTCAGGTTCTCTTTCTKCACAGTTTTGTTTAGCAAGCACAATTGCTTGCTAAATTGACACAGTTCCTTGCTGAAAGAACTTTCTGCTCTGCTAATTTTGTTCAGCTGCATAGAATTTGCTGTCAAATGATGGAGTATTTTAAAAATTGAATCTGTGASTTAAAGTTTGTCTGACATTCTGAAAGTCAGTATAGGTACTTGTTTACACCTTGAATCAAGTACTTAGTAATAGATTGATCTCCACATTCTTCTGTCCCTCTTGAGAGATGGTGTTCCAGAACAGAAATGGTCAGCAGTCATTCTTGTGTGTATTATGAGAGTCTTTACTTGGTTGAAAAGTATTTCATAAACATCATTCATAACTAATGGCAATAATAGTATGGTCAGGTCCCCATCTCACAGCAAGGACTTCTGGAGCCCAAACACTAGAAATCCACTTTAAGAGCAGGAGATTGAAGTGGGAAAATATTGACTTTTAACTTTTGTCAGGATATCCTAACTGCTTGATAGTAATAGATTTTCCTTGCAAGTTTGGATAGAGTCCCAAGTCAAGAAAAGTGTAAGCCTGATTTATTTTGGACAGATATGGTCCACRAATTTTCTTTATTTTGTGTTGCTTCTGTGTGAGAATTTTGTCTTCTGACACTGGCTAAGTGGACAAAATACCTTTAAAAACAYTGGATTAATACTCTTTGTTATGGTTCCTATTACTGATGCAGCATTTTCAAACTTTAGAGCTGTAAAATGGTCTCACTTTGTGGTGGCCTTGGTTCCCTTCCCACCTGTCTCTAGATGCTTCTGGGAATTGCACAATCAAGGAAGTCACTTTTGGCTCTGCTAAAATTGGTAAACTTCTCACCATCTTCAAGAGATATTTGGGAAGTATTGTAGGTGTATAAAATAAGTGCTGTGTAGGCTGCCTTATGCCATCTCTGGCAAGCCTRAACAACTTTTCATCCCCTTTAATGGTGTCTTGTGCTGTACCCAAAGGTGCACACTGGTCCAGCTGTCCACTCTGCAAACGTGGAGCTGGTCCTTGAGTTCTGCTTAATTGATCATGAGCTGAGCTTTCAGGGTGGCCACAAAGTACTGCTGGGGCTGAGCCTGGGCTGTTCACCGACACTGTGCTGCCTACCATCTGATCAGTACAGACTAAGGACTGGGTTTGGGATGGAGCTGGCATCACCCCGTCCTTGGAGCCCTAATTCTAGGGTTGACTGCTCTGGCAGCAGCAGGCCACTGCTAAAAGCAGGGTTCAGGCATCTCTGGGGAAGCTGCTGTGCTTGTAATCTTCAAGGTGTTATTTTTTAGCTGCTCAGGGACTTTAATGAAGACATGCTTCSAGATGAAGTGCAATTTGTGGCGTTTGTTCTGCCATGGGGGTAAAAAAGCCCCACACTGATTTGTGGAAATGTCCATACTTAGTTTTCTTTGATGTGTAAATCTCTGTTGAGCCATGGCCTCTTCAGAGGCATTGATTGTGGGCAAGCCCCACTGCACCATTTAGGTGTGCTTTGGGAAAGACTTCTGCCTCCTATTATGTCATCCTGAGCAAAGTAAAATTCTTGACTGCCTAGAAGGAATAAATGCATACAATCTAGAGAGTGTAGCTAGAAACAGAATAAGATAGAGTGTGTTTCTTATTTCAACATCTCTTTTGTACAAATAATATGACTTTGGTACTAGTGCTACTAGGAAAACACGAACAATTAATTAAGAAAAAAATTCTAGCAGTGGTTTGATTTGAGATTGCTATAGAAACCAGGTCAGTATGGCACCGAAACTCTCCCATCAAGTGTTGGTATAACAGCTCACACCTTCCAGCATCTGCAGTTCTGGAGAGAACATTCAGGTCTGGGAAGCCAGRATTTGAGTGTCAGCATCTCTAGAACAGTCTGCCATGGGACGTTCCCACTGGTACAGCTCCTTGTGGGAGCTCCTGGAGAGTGAGGAGCCTAAGTTGTGTTTTATTTATTTATTTCCCAGTAGTTTCTTATAACCTTCTGTGCAGGCTGGAGGCACTTGTGTGTGTCTCAGTGTGATGGGTAGGGAGGGAGTGGAGCATGAACACAGAAGGAAAAACTGACAGAACTTTGTAATGACATGAAGGAAATCATACCTGGACATTTCCTGCCATGTATGGTTCCTGGAGGAAACACACTTGAGGGAGTGAAAAATCTGTTGAGGTGTTTTCATAGCCCTAATCTGAAAGAGGAGGAGGGAACACATCGTCCTCTGTTCTGTGTTTCCTCAAGAGCGTCTGTGAGAGTGACTGATGCTTTCAGTGACGCCGGTTAATGCTTAATTGCAGGGCTTGGACAGGGTTTGGTTCTGTTTCTTTTCGTTTTTTGTTTTTTT